AGAATGTATGAGCAGTTTCTGGGCAAATATTAATAAGACACAAATGAGGAGGAAATCATGAGTTACATTACTGTGGTATTATTATTATTATTGCTGAAGTCATCTGGTCGCTCCGCCTGATCGTTCCAGGAAGTGAAGATCCTCTCTCGGCCTATCCAGAGTTAGAGGGAGAGGAGAAGGACAGCATGGCCTTACTCAATGAGATCCTGGGCAGTATGTCTGTGGATGAGGGCGACTTCTCTCGCGAGTGGACGGAAGTGTTTGGAGACACTGAGGAAGGAACGAGCGCAACGTCCGGTAGACCAGCGGAGGCCCAACAAAAGGAAAATGCCTTCTTTCTGCCATCTCAGCTGCTGGACCAGAGCTTGAACGATCTGCAGTCTTCCCTCTCAGGTCAGGACATTTTACCCCATGTGCATTTGTGCTTGTGTGAATCAGACAAGAGTGACGCAGAGAGCGGGTGAAGTGGTCCAAAAAGCTTGTTGGTTGACAAAAGAATATTATTATCTTCATTTAATTAAGCAGTTAGGTGAAATAAATATGTCTGATACCTAAATAATAAGCTACATTGTTTTTCCATGAATTTGTGCATTAAGAATGCGAAAAAAAAACCACAGCTAAAATGGGCTGCTTTTGTAGCTAATTATTTCCGCACAGGAAGAAAAGTGGCTTTAAAACAATTTATCAAACCAATGTCTGTCAACGTAATAGAGGGAGGCTATTATAACATGGCAATTAGATTTGCTTATCCATTGGTAATTGCCAACGACTTTCCATTTCATCCAGGCCTGGGCACTGGCTGCTCGCACCTCGTCTGGTTTTGTTGATTTGGTTTCGTCTATTTTCAGCTTGCAGGGTTGTGAGCAGCCTCACTATTATAAAGTTATAAAGAAATGTAAACCTACAGTGTGTATGAAGAATTTAGTTAATTAAAAAAACAAAGAATTTATTTAATTGGCTAGTGATTTAGCATGATTGTGATAATAAACTAAAATCTCTTTGTGGCTCAGAGTCACAGCAAAGTACACACTTAATAAAAGTAAAGTGTTAGAGAGAAGAGAGAGTTTTCTTTCTTTTTTTTTGTTCAACTTCACAACAAAGTGTGTCTGAACAGGTCCAGGAGAAGCATATGGTCTGTGGGTTCAGAGGCAGGAGAGAAGGCGACGAGTTTTGAAAGGGAGACAGAGTCCAGCTGGCCAGTGAGGCTGATCAATCTCTTTCTTTTTAAAAAGCTGTCACAACACATTCAACCTGCTTGACTTTTTCCACATTGAATTACAGCTTGAATTCCAAATTAAGGGAATTCGAAACACCTGCAATACGTAATACGATGAACTGTCAGAACCGTGTCAACGCACGAATCTCGGTAAAAGTATAAAACAATTTTAAAAAGTGTTGTGGTCAGTCTGCAAGTGCGGGTAGGAGAATGTGCAGACTCTGACTTGTACCTTCAAAATACTACACAAAACTTTTGACAGCATGCAATACATCAGGAGCGTGCAAAACTTATTTAACACTTACAAATGCCTCTGCGCTCTCAAAACCTACACTTACTGATTGACACTCAAATTCCTTTTGCTGCTAAAAAACACAGTTTATTAAATGGAAAAAAAAAAACACAGAGTGCTGCAGACTTTCAAGAGCTGGTCATGAAGCTAATCTGGGCGACCGGGAACAATGTTCAAGAGGTTGGTCTTGAGAAACTTAAGGACCAAGGGATTTTACTGTTGTCAGAGATCTTTCGGGAAGAACAACAGCGTAGACGTAGCACTTCTCAGATATGGCAGTGTGGTCAAAGAAGTCACACTCGGGCAAGAAAGCAGCACATGACAGCAGAAGGCCCGTGACCTCCGTTCAACCTCGGGGTTGGAGCCCAAAACAGGCAAAATCCTGGAAACAACATGGTCCACTGAGTCAAATAACTTATGATCCTGATTATACAGCCTAAAAAGCCAAATCAAAAGCGAAATGGCAGGAGACCAAGAATGTGGAGCAAAGCTATAACAAATCTTCAAGGAAGAAAATCCCAAAATTCTCATTAACCATGTACCTTCAGATGCATCCAGTACGACTTGCAGCTGCAGTCACACTCCAACGCTTTTATACGTAAACAACTGACTACATTTTTAAAGATTTTTAACCTCGACACATCTAAAAACAACTTCATTCATTCAGTATTTCTGCTTCTGCAACACAACTTGCTGAAAATGTCAATAAAAGGTAGAAGATGCCAGAGATGAAATACCATAATAAACTAATTCACTAAAATATCCAGAGGCTTCAAAAAGGCTTTAAGCCTGTTGGACTCATTTGTTTGTATTTGGAGTAAAAGACTGTTTGTTACCAAGTACAATATCAACAGCACATACCACTGTCCTCCCTGGTGATATTTAGTGTTGCTACACGCTTTATTATCAAGATACACAAAGGATGAAATCAAAACAAACTCGCCTGAAACAAGACCTCGACGTTCTAATTGCAACTTTTGGCTTGTATTTAATAAACCACTAATAATGACTGATTTGATGTTGCCATGATAAATGTTTTGATTATTGCTGTTTGTGTGCGTCTATCAGGCTACACAATATCTGTGCGAGAGAGCGGGATGATTTATTTGTTGGATCATGCTTTGCCACGTTAAGTTTCTCCTGCTGATTAATCCAATTCTGCGTCCCCCCGTTTCAGATTGGGCCGGCATCGCTCCACAGCCGGTTGCCCAGACAACAGAACCCTCATCTGGAGCCAATCAGAACCCTTCTAAGCCAGCAGCGAAAGGTAGGACCGAGCCAAATGAGTAAAACATACGAGAAGATTTGACAGAAAAAAGCTAGTCCAAGTAAAACCTGTGTTTATGAGTACTGTCTAAGAACTTGTGGCTCGTTTCCATTCATAATTCCGGATCTCGCCAGATGCCGTCTTTTATGGGACTTTTATGGGAGGTGTTTTTCTTTTTCTTTTTCACTATGGCTTTAGTAAACGCACAGCAGTTGTTTTGGTGACGTTCACCCTTGTTAACTCATTTTACAGACACAGCAGGGACGTCCAAAGACCTCTCAGCGTGGTTCAACCTGTTCGCTGACTTGGACCCTCTCTCCAATCCCGATGCAGTCGGCAAAACTGACACAGAGCACGAACTTCACAACGCATAGTTCTTCCTAAGAGTCACAGGGAATCTCTTTTCAAAAGTTTTTTTTTTTGGTGGGAACAGCTGCATATTGTTACCACTGACACCAGATAAAAAAAAAAATCAGAGCTAGAGCTGAAACAATTCACTGATTAGTCGTTAAACTGAAAATCAATCTGCAGCTACTACAATAACAGAGTTATTTCAGTCATTTTTCAAGCAGAAATGCAAAATAGTTACAAATACAAGACTTGTTGATGTTCTTTGTCATATATGATATCAAACTGAATATCTCTGGCTTTTGACCCGTTGGTCTTCATAAAACAAGCTATCTGCATTTTCACTAATCCTATAGACAAAACAGTAATCAAGAAAACAATCAGCAGATCAATCAATAATGAAAATAATCAATAGCTGCTGCCCTATAACTGTAATAAGACTTGTTTCTAATTATAAAAAGATGCACTGATAACAAGAAAACAAAAAAGGCTGGTGTGTTGTAATAATAAAATGCATAATAATGAGAAGAATGAGACAAATACCTCGTTCTAAGAAAATACATTTTCTGGGTTTTTTGTCTCATGTGGGCAGCAATACGCTGCCGTAGGCGTCCCACTAACAACGATCAGCTCTTGTGTCCTTTCCACTGTGAAAGAAAAGAGACATTTACAAGACAACCTAATTAAGCCTGCTGGCAATTTCACTGGGTTAAGCATTTAATGTTTAGCATGGATACCTCAGTATGAGTTTGGAACAATAAGCCTTTGACATTAGCTGCCTTGGAAATCTGTAGTCTCTCGTAGCATTCATGCTTTATTTCTGATTCTCGTTACTGAAGACTGCAAAACAGGCAAAAACTACCGTGTGAGAAACAAAAAGCAAAAATGACAAAGATCACGCAGCAATAGTTCATGTGTTTACAAAATACTCTTAACACGCTGAGTGACGGAAAGTTAACGCAGTCACAGACAAATATTCGAAAGTGTATTTATCTGCCATCGGATGATTCAATTGACAAATTTACTGGCAACACCACGTTTCAAAGGGTGAACTGGATACATGGAGAAGTTGTTTCCTTGTTCAGGCAGTAAAGAGTTTTTCCTTTTGAAGATTAAAGCTCTTAAATTTGTTTGCTACATGCTGAATCTGTAATCCCCTTTTGAATATATTCCATTAAGTGTGATTACAGAATTGTCATTGAATAAAAATACACATATCACTAATTTATTATTGCATGTTGCATGCCTCGATTTATGTTATCAAGTAACAGTGTGATTGGATGAACAATATGTTTATATTAATGTGGGATTTTTCATCAGTATATATTTTATCATGTGGACACGTATTTAGTTATCATTCACAGTTATTGGGTTTCATGGACAATATATGCAGTTTTCAGTGTGTTTTCTTTTAAATGGAAGGTTTGATATTCATGAAAATACAATCATACCGATTTTGACTACAATGCTGCATAAATTGATGTATTCAGAGTAAATGCCTTAATCTAAACACACGTCAACAATATCAAACCTCATTAGAGTTATTATTGGATTCCTTATACAGTATATAACAACTGAGTGAATTTATTTTTGTTGTAATGAAGCCTTGTGTCATTTTTGATGTCCAAGCCATGAGACATTTGTTAATATCTAATCATAACCAAAATACATTGATTGCCTTACCTTGCCACCTATTTGTATATAAATGCCATGCTCCTGATATTATTGGTTGTTGTGTCTGTCTACGGCCTTTGAAAAGGATTACATACCAAATCCAGAGATTTTTTTCGTTTTCTTTATTGAAAAACACACACAAGATCTACATAAAAATGCATAATACACAGGAAAACTGAATCATCATTGCCGAACATGGCAACCATTTCTTAACTGCACTGCACAATGAGCTTGTGAATAAAATTAGAATTAGTATTGAAACTCTTGGAGCTGCAAGCAGAACAGAGAATTTCAACTTAAACTGTGAGGAATGCTTTGCATATGTTGTTCATATTTGTATCTGTGCGCAAGTGGCTAGATAGACCAACGTTTTGGAATGGAACATTTACTAGTTTAATCCTCCTGTTCAAAGTTAACCCGCTCTAAATGGGTCATGTTTTTTTGTTGTTTTTTTTTTTTGTTTTTTTTAATATATATTCCGGTGATACAACTTGTGCAGGTAACGTCAGGGCACATCTGCTAGGATATGTAGTTTGAGCCAAACTTTGTTACACAAAAAATGTTAGTGTAGATTTACTTAAAAACAAAATCAATTGCACACTCAACTTCTGATTGTTTTAACTTACAAATTGGTCCAAAATAAAAACAGTGATTATCGTCTCACTTCCACATAAGTGCTTAAACTTGGTTTAACGATTAGCGCCTGTGTTTCAAACACTATGAACCAGTGTTTATATGTTGCTGAACTGTTTATAAACAAAACAAAAACACACTTAAACATTCTGCTTCTGGCACAAAAATGGTGCCTCTTGTGTCCCAAATACATGACAGGCCTTTCATTGTTTAGAGATTTGCTTTGGTATATATTTAACAAAGGGGCAAAACAAACAACATAATTGTCAACTTCTTAATTTTGGGAGGATGTAGCTTATTTAGCTAGTTCCATTTACATGAGAACTCACGGTTGACCAATGCAACGGTGATCTCTGGAATGTGTCATAGCACCTGAAACTCTAACCTGAACAGGTTAATGCAAAAGCCATCTGTCACAAATTGTGACATCAATCAGCTGATTCAGTCTGTAATAACCTCCCTCTCCAGGGAAAAAATAAAACATCTCTGCGAAAGACTGTATTGTCTTTCTGTAGAAGAAAGTCAAACACTGGGGAAAGGCAACATAGTCCAAGCAAGTACATTCCACATAACCTGAGTTATTGTTCTGGGTAGTGTGGGGCAATAAAAGAAGGCAATGGGGGATTTGTGTGCTTTGTGATTGGTTTTTTGGTCTCTGAATAAACAGCTGATATTAGCATTTTGTGTTGAGCTTACGGAGTTTAAATAGTGATCAGACTAGAAATGCAGATCTAAGTCTTGGATTGTAAGCCTGTTGGGTGGAGCCTGCACTCCAGTCACTGCTGGTTTCACACAGACACTGTGCTACGAATACTTTAAAATAAACAAATAAAAAAGGCCATGGACCTGGTCTTAACAAGTGCAAACTTTGTGGTTAATGTGGGGAAAGGTATTCTGACTGTAAGACATCCCGGTATGTTAAAAAGATGAAACAAGCATTTCCCATCCTGTCAAAAAGCTTACATATATGTACTTTAGATTTGAGCTCGCTGAACACTTAACAGCTAATAAGCTGGTTAGATAACATGAGTAGAATGTGTTTCTGATAGTTGTCTCTTGTCAAAGTTTTGGATTTTTCCTTTTTAATTTCAACTTGATAGAACTGCCGGCGCTACGCAACACAATAATTTGAGCAGTCACCTCTACTTTTTGCAAAAGAAAGCAAAGCTATTTTTGTTATGGGTGATGTCAGGGTACAGAGGAGAAGGCTAGGTTAGTGACGGGTGAAGGGAGGCTGTGCCCAAGGTCAGTGCTCTCTAAAATCTGAATGGGAACGGCCAAACCATCAAGTTTTTCTTGATAAAACATCACATGAGCGAGACAAACACTGGGACCGAGCAGTAATGCTTGTGCAGCAGGATGCTGGTACTATTATCCTCCAAAGTGTTTGTCATCTCTGGACCTTGGGCACTCCCTGCTGGCTAATGTTAGGATTAACGGAGTGCAAGGAATTTTTTTTTTTTTCTTTTTTGAAACCTTACCACCTGACTAGTTGAAATGTTTGAGCTGTAGGTGGTTTGGTCATGAATACCTGAGGACTAGCTGGTGAGGAGAACTTGTGCTGAGCCATCTTTCCCCATATCTGCGTCGGGGCTCTGGCTGTCTGTGCTGTTGTCTGTGTTTACACCTGTGCTTTTGTCGGTGCTCCAGTCAGTGGAGGCCGGAAAGGTAGGTAGTGGTGCAGTGGGTAGAGTCGGGGTCACCTGAGGCCCAGGGCTCTCGTTGCCATGAACACCGGGGCTGGCCGAGGAGCAGGACGAGGGAGAAACCGGGGAGAAGAGGGAGGAGCAGAGGAGTTTGACAGGGCAGAAGGCAGAGCCCCTGGGAATGAAGTTCACCTTGTTTTTGTCCGGGCATGAGAAAAGAGGGAAGCCTTTTGATTTGCCAGACCTGAAGACAGTAGAAGTTGAGCTCAGTATTTCTGCTGGCTATATTGTGTTTATATGACTGTTCACATTAAATGCAAATTGTTTGTCCTACACAACCATTTTCCCTCATCCCTGCCACCCACAATGCAAATAAGCTTGGTTGCTTTGTATTTTAGTATCTCAAAGTCGATGAAGTTGTACAGTAAAGTGTATCTATTGTTTGTTTTTTTTTTTTTTTTAATGATCAGTATGCTCAGTGTTTGGACGGTAGACAACAGCACAGCCGCACAGTAGCAAAGTGTCAAATACGAGGGTGCATTTAAAAACATACACAGATGTTGAAATGAAAAAATGAAAGTCGAAAATACTTACACCAACTCTTCAAACACTTTGACCTTCTCACAGCCCTCTGGAGGTTCCCGTTTAAACATGTAGCTGTTGTTAGGTTTGGGAGAAGTGGCAAACTTAGGGAGAGGAGAACTGCACACACCATCTGAAAATACGTGAGAACAACATTTACTTTACTTTTTCTTTTTAGTAATGATACAACAAACAGGGAAACACAAAAACTTTACACTTTACCTCTTAGGAGCTGCAATGGGCTTGAAGTAGGGCTTTGTATAATGTAACAATTTTCAATACTGTGCTAATACTTAACCCAAGTATGTGGTCCAGTGCTAAAGCTATACTTTTTTCTTGCTTTACGGGACACAACATGCAAATCTACAAAACCCTCTTTTCATTTAACAAAAGCCCAATTATTCAACTGTTTAATACAAGCAGCTCTAATGGGACTTTACCTGAATAAATCTAAATTTTGAATTAAAGTAAACAATAGTACAAGTCTAAGCATGAATTAAATGCCAGCTTTCAGTTGGGGGCAAAAAGTGTTGAGGTTCAATCCTCTGGACTAGCTTTGTGCAAAGAGTTGTCCATGTGCCTGTCTGAGGTTATCTTTTTGAGATGCATGCAGGTGGCAACTGGCCAAGAAAAATACTAAAACTAAAACAAGTAGCCACAGCTCTGCATGAAAAAAAATGAAAAAATAAATAAATAAATGAATCAAGCTAATGTGTTTATACAACTTTTTCTCACATGCAATTGTACTCACCAAGACCTGTAAATGCATTCTGATGTTTAAAACTGGTGAAGTTGCCCTTTAATTCACTGAACACTAAAACTGCATCTGTCAAACAGCGAAGGCACACCTTTGTCGATGTCCTCTGCAGAACAGGGGCTTCCGTCGGGGGAGTGGAGGTGGTCAGAGCTGCAGGGCCGGGGCGATGGGCTGGAGTCGCCACTGGAAGGGGCCTGCGTGTCTGTGTCACGTGTGTCCCCGCCATTGCTGTAGCGATGCGGAGGGAAGGGGGGGCGACGGCCATCCACCACATCCATGGCCTGTGAGGTCAGAGTGCGAAGGGGGTGGTGAGAGGTCATGCGTAAACATACATGGATCCTAAAATAGCAGAAAGGTGATGCTTAGTGTTTAAAGAAAAGGTCACATTCAACCCCCCCCAAAACAGCCAATGTGTTTTTGAAAAACTCGTGTGAACTGTTGAAGTGTTCCTGTGCCAGATGTTGAACAGCTACCTGCTCATTCAGTGGACGACGTCAGTCTGCGTTAAGAGCATCAGCTAAAAAGTCCAAGAATGACTGGAACTAAAAGGCCTCTGGTGTGTTTGTCTGTCTCTTTAAAGGGCAATTGGAGAAGCAAACACCACACCAGATGGTAATACTTGACAGTAGATGAACGATGTGATATGCAGAGCATTCTGCTTTGGCACAGCTGATTCAAATGGGAGAGAAGGAAAAAAAAAAAAAAAAAGAGGCTTGGTGCACAGCAGGCTGTAAATCTGTAGTGGTGTGATGTTTGTATGTGTGTTTATGTGTGTGTTTGTGACTTTCTAAGAGGGGAGAGCTCTACAGCACTGCCAAGGTTTACTACCCCACATCAGACAAGATTTACGGGTCTACTCGCCTCCAAGAGATTTAATTCAGTGAGTTAGAATATATGTGTGCTGCTGTCTGACTGTATGGTGCACAGTGTTGTAAGTGACTTTACAAGAGGGTTGTTTGTGTGCATGTAATAAATTTTAAGCATAGCCTTTTTGACCACAGGTATATTCATGTATATAAACTTCAACTTAATTGAACCTGGCCTGTGACTCTTGCACTTAACACTGGACAAAACACGTTTGCATCACACAGACATTGGCTGCACTAAAGAGCAGTTAACATGGAGGTAGCTGGGATGTTGTGGAGATCCAGGAAACAACCTTGATAAATGTGCTGCCTTTCTGAAGAGTTGATGCACAGTGATGTGTAAACAACGACAAGACTCGACGGCTTGCATATGGGCTCAAGTAGAGAACAATGGGTATTGGCATGCGTTATACACTGCCTGTGTGTATATTGCCCTTTTGTCTGTGTATTAAAAGATGATTAAGCAAGTTTAGAGACACTGCAAGTTCCAATTCTGTGTTTTGGTTTGGATAAGTGATGCATTTTGTTTACATTTGGATCACGGATTGTAGCTTTTGCTGTATTCACTGCATGTGAACAGAATACGAGAATGGGAAAACATCCCATTGAGATGACTTGGGAGCCTTCACATAGTATTGAAATGGTGTTGGTTGATGATTACCCCTAAAGCCAGCCCTGTACTCACTCCAGGATAATAGACATAAATCCAAAATTAGTTGTTCTCTATTGTGTTACATCTTTGTAGCAATTTGCTAACAACTTTAACATATATAAACAGTGGTATAGGCTGTAAACACATTTCATTACTATAATAAGTAGCTGCATTGATTGCATTTGCATTAATACATTTAACTACCAGCAATAGTGGCTTTACAGCCATTTTGACACATTTTTGGACAATGCTGCAGTTCTTTTCACCAACACAGATTGTAGCAGTAAAAAGTTCCTTATATGTCCTACTCATATGCTGCTGTCAACCATTCTTTCCCACTTGGTTGTTTGTATTTACAGTCTACAGGACATGAACCTGACATTTAAACTAATTTGGACTGCAAAAGGACAGATAAGGTAGTTTTGGGTGAGTTTATCACATACCGCACCGGTCTGCAGTTCAACAAGCATTTCAAGTTATTTTTAAACACTACTTGACCTGTTGCTGGTGTGTGCACATATCCCTTACCTGTATCCCCTGCTCCCAGTCCTCTCTGATGAACACATTTTCTAGTTCATGGTTGATGCCCTCCACGCTGCTCGGCACTCTGCATATGAGGGATTTTGGCACAGGGATTGTCGACAAGGCTGATGAAGTTCCTTTGTACTGGAAGCAAAGACAAAAAAAAATCAAATATAAGTGGAAACCTATGTATACGTCAAAATAATATGCACTCAAATACATACCCCCCCCCCTCGCTCTCAGGACACAGTAAAAAACATTCAGTTCAGTTGTGCAATGAAATACACAATACCGCATGTGTCTTGGAGACCTGCTTGCAGTACTGAATTGTTGCTGATCCAGTTCCATGAGATATTCAATGGGTGGAGGTGTTCAGTTTAAATACATGGTGGGATTAAATGTAATATGGAACAAAAACACAGCCATGACTGGGATCTACCACATATGGGTATAGGGCATAGCATATCACTGTTTATGTTAATTTTCCCCACAGTGGTTGATGCACCGTTGCTGGGCATCTGTGAATGAATGAACTCCAAACAAGGAGAGGACCGGGCATGCCTAGACACATTCCCCCTCTCCTCTTTTGACACAACTGGTCAAAAACGGAGACTTGACAACTAGACCTCCTCAGGCAAATGCTGTGCAATAATACAACATCATAAACTTATGATCAAATACTGTATGGTCTACACAGACACGCAAAAACTAAAAAATACTCCACTACTATAAAAATATAAAAGTTTCATACTACACCTACTTCTCAAATAGTGGCCACATTTTATTTTTACTACATTTTACAATTATGGCTAGCTGGTAACCTGAAAATAAAATCCTGATAAGTTTATGATTTGAAACTGTTAACCAAGTAATGTAGAAAGCCAACTTCCTTAACCCTGGTATATTCATATTCAGTTCTCTTATCTTCAACAGCTGTGATATGGTTTGGTCACCGTCTGTTTCACTTGTATGTTTTTTTCCTTGGCTGCTAAGCTACCTTATCATATTGCTGCCGACAGGGCATCACCAAAGTCAGAGTTAGTTAATGTTTTCACCTGAAAAGAGCGTGCCGGTGATTCAGTTTGCAAGAGCACGAATATTGACAGGAATAACTCACCTGAGGTTGGCATGCATTGCTGTGCTGCGCCTGTTGTGGCAGCTGCAGTGAGCTCTGCTCCCTGTCTTTACTCTGCCGACTGACCTGTTTGCTGCGCTGCAGCTGCAGTCTCAGTTTAGCAATCTGCTGGAAGAAAAGTGACATCACTTCAGCAAATGATAGCTCACAATCAAATCATGCAGGCGGTATTTCTATTAAAATATAAATTTTAACTTTTCTCATCAGTGAAATGAATGGAACTGAGATGTATGTGTTAATACAGGAGAAAACAGCTAAATTCTGCCATTTCAAAAAGCTGGAACTATCAAGCATTTGGTTTTTTTGCTTAAAAAAATGACTTAAACAATTAATTGATTTTCGAAATAGTGCCAGATTAATTGCCTCAAAATAAACTGATATGGAAATAATATAAAAGATCTGAAACATTTAGTGTTTGGTTGAATTCTTTTTCATTGAAGTAACTGTTCCTCCTTTTTGCAACAGATAGGAGAACAATGACAACCCACACTGAGAAGAATATTGTTATTTGCCAAATGAATATTTGTTCTTTATTTTCATCATTTTTAGGATGACTGGGAGGCTTTCTTCTCTTATGTGACTAACAACTATAATATGGCACTGTTGGGCTTTTCACAAAAATATGTACTAGTCTGCACTCGAAGGTTGACTTGACCTGAATATTGTTGCAGGGCAGTATAGTGCAAATGATTAGCCATGTATGTCTGATGATGAAACAAGTTAGGTCAGTGGGTGTTTCTGGATGTGGCCCAGTATGAGCCTAAAAACAGGATACCCTTTGTGAGCCTAACAGACGCAGTTGTACTATGCAGACAAAGGTGTGGTCTTCAATGCTGATCTTGTAATCCTGGCAACACAGTCAACAAAGAGACTCGCTCTTTTCATAGATGTCCTCCCACACATGTAATCGCAGAGGTTAGAGAGCTCGAATGCAGTTCACTACATTCATTGAGTGACCGCAACAGTTGATAATGACAAGTCCAGGCAATCCCAATGTAATCTCCGAGGACAAGAAAGAGGTTTTCCTGGCTGTGCTATGCTATTGATTGTGCAGGCCAAGGGCCTGGGTTTGTCTGTAGAAAACTGAACACTACATTTTTCAAACAGGCCTAGTGATAATGCATGGCTACATTGACACATGGGTGTTATTAATGAAATCTGATTCTAAAAATCAGATTTTATGAGATCACAGTGCTGTTACTCCCTCGCTGGGAAATGCATTTTATGCATCTCTTGTTGCTGTCTCCCATTTACAACTGTTGACATTGCTGAGGTGCAATGTGACCACTGGTAGTTTAAATCCACACCACGTCCAATTCTATTTACAATAAAAACCCAAACACTTCCATATGTCATCTTGGCAATTTAATAGCAATGTGAATAACGTCAGATTCTTGGGCATCTAGATGTGTCATGTGATGTGCTTAGCATGATCAGACAAGTGTTACCACATGGACAACAAAGTAAAGGCAAAGCCTGTTCGATCCAAAGAACATTTTAGTATTGACCTTCTGTACCTGTGTGTTATGAAGTTATTACAGACTTGAATTTACAATGCTTGGCATGTTGGCTATAAAATGTATGGTATGTACCTCTGTGAGCTGGTGTTTAAGTGTGGCTGAAATTGATTTTTGAAAGTGTAAATGTTTTATATGATTTGTTCCCTGGTGTGTGTGTCAGTACTTTGGAACCATCATTATGTTGGAAACAGAAAAATATGATTCAGGGACAACACAATAAGCACTGCGAAGTTTTTAAGTAACACGAGTTACCCAGAGTCGGTTTACTCAGTGCAAGCTAAGGAGGGAACAATATGGCTTTTTCACCCTTGAGAGGAGCTCCTGCACTGTCTCTCAAAAACAACAGGCCATAATGAGATGCGAGGGTGCAGTTGAGTGGGAAACAGAGGGGAGAAGGAGGTTAAATTTAGACTGTGGTCTGGAAAGCTTGAGACCTAATAGATCCATGTGGTCGGTTGGTTGGCCACCAAGTCCAGCAAATAGACAGTGGAGTGGAAACCAACCATAAGGAGCATAATATTTAGGCTGACCTCAGACCCTGACAAATAAAACACATTTGAGTAAATGCAATGAACCTCAAAAATGACAAAAACATGCTCCACGATTTGGCTGTGTGAATGTTTGAAGCTAGTAGATGGATTGCTGACTCTGGTGCACTGTGTTAATCAAGTGTCTGTGGTGTTTGATGTCAGAAGCAGCTGTGACTTGGGCGAGCCAAGGTTAACACAGGTGAATCTACCTCTTTGAGATGGTCTGCGCTGCCCCAGGAGGCTGACCTCTGGTGAGGACTTCCCTGTTCTGCTCCTTCGTCGATCCAGAGACCTGGAGTCTGAAACACAGAAACATAAACGCTGACATAGAACCACAAACACAACTAATGCCATTGATACATGCTCCATATGTACCGCAAGACACTGTGGCCACCAAATCTTATGTTGCAAACGCACACAGAGACAAGTCTAATAGTACTCCTGCACAAGAGCATAAACACAAGTTTCCATTGTTTGTTTAAGCCAAAATATCTAAATAGAAAACATTACATCACCTTTAAAACCTAGGATTAACCAACATATAGGTTCTTAGACTTGTTTACATGGCAAGGTGGCCTATTGTTACAAAGATCATACAACTGAAAGGTCACAAATGTAGTTCTTGCCGAGTCTTGTTGAATACTTGCCCATCAAGTCAGTTACAAATCTTATTAAAAAATACAGTTATTATAAATGATATGATATGAACACAAAGACATTCACATATATACAAATACACTTACCAACATAATCTCAAATGTACATGAATGTAAAAGGTAAGGAGATGATTGTGCACAGAGGTAGGAAGCTAAAAGCTTATACAAAGCTCTCTCCTACAAACTCATGAAATGTCCCTCATTATAAAACTGAATAGCTAATGTGATCCCTCACTGTGGAGTCACTCGTGATGTGGGCAAAATAAATACCTAAAATGTATAATGTTTGGATAAGAACAGGCAGTTGAGAAAGATGTGGGTGAAAGCAGTAATGAGTGCCGTGTGTTCAGAAGTAAAGCTGAAAAATCTGGAATCAATGAAAACGAGGAAAACAGTCATGAGATACCATCCCTGAGGAAAGAACTACATTCAACAGGAAAAACAAAAGTTACAGCATGTTTGATTATTTCCGTTTGTGAACCAGGTTAAGATAAATACATCTGTTGCGGGCATAAAAAAAAAAACAAAAAAAAAACTATTTTTGTCTGCAGGCTAAACCGAACAATACATTCCAAAATCCACCGGCCATTATCACCACAAGCAAAACATAGTTTGAAAAAATAATTACAGGGGTACCAAATAATATTGGTTTACCTGCCAAGAAGACATATTTCCCAGCCACAGGTGACAAGAGATGGTGGTGAGTCCCCACCTTGGAGTTTTCACCTTTCACCTTCAGTAATGAAATTCTACAAACTAGTATAACTATTTATCCCATATGCACTACTCTGATTTGCAGAAAATGTACAGCGCAACACAAGACTTATACCAGGTCAATGAGTCTACACAGACATTTGGCTAGTAGTTAGTACAGCAGTAAGAAAACATCTGATATACAAAACATTTGGTACCAGAGAGCATAGAGGCAGTTCTGTCTCAATGAACATGTCTTTTAGACCTCTACTGCATAAACAAGGAAACGGTTAAGTTATGTAAATATATGCAAAAGCAGAAACAGACTGAGGATGTTTCATAGGGTTGTCTGAAACCACACACTTCCCCCTGATTATGCATATCAACAGTGCCTCTGGTCCTCAAACAAATCCTTAAACATCTGACGTTTTTTGGTTAGCACAGTAGTACGAAACATCCTAAATGTCAATGTCTTCACACTGCCTTATGTCTGACCCCACACAAACAGAAAAACCTCTATGGCTCTCCAACTATCGCACAAGCCTTGCCCTATGATATGGAATATCACACTGTGAATAATGAGGAACACCCGTGAAGCCGTTTGCTCTGGGTTGCTGGCGCTGGTTTCCCCCGAAAAGGACAGCGAATTAAATGAGTGCTTGTGCTCTCATAAAAAGGGACCACTGTGCTTGGCCACGCTGGATGGCAGATGTGTAGCTAGCCTTTAGCATTAACATTTTGTGCATGGCCTATGAAATGGCTTGTGCTGTTTGAAGCCTCTGCCAAACATTGAGAGACTTGATGCTGCAGCCTAATCTGTTCATACAGAATACAGATTGCTGTAAAAGGGCAGACAGGCGTTATGGAGCAGTGAACTTAGCCGTTGAGGAAAAACTAAGCTCTCACAGATGTTCTATGTCATAAAGTAGGCATGCTACTCTTGCTACTTGAATTCAATACCAATACCAATAAATAACAAAATACAGGTGATATTTTCCTTAATCTTCAGGAAGTGCTTCATTTCAAAGAATTCTCACCTGAGGGGAGAATTTAGCCTGAGGCTAATACCCTAACTGTATTCATTTTAGCGGGCATTTAAACAAATATCAGCTTGGGGGTTTTTAAGTTCATCACAAGATATTCAATCTCTCAGACACAAAGGGTCACAAAGGGGACTCTTGACATTGGTCTATGTTTCAGTTTTAAATCTCAAGAATGCAAATTACCTTTGAGGCCACAACTGTCAAGGCTGGGGTCACATTTTTCTTTATTGTGGATAGCTCAATTTGGAAGTTATCCATAGTAAACAAGACCGTTAAAAATACTGCAGGCTATCTTTCTTTATTGTCTGTGTTCCCCACAAAAAAATTGTCTGTTAACAAGAACATCCACCTTTATTTGCCTCAGAGGCCCCTTTATCATGCTAGCTCTTGAACTTATGGTCTGAATTGTGTGCTTAGTAGACGTGTATGCCAGGTGTCATGTCTGATAATGTACTGCTGTACAGATAAAACCTTGTTACCAGAGCCTGCAGCTTGCTTCCCATTATGATTCCCACCCAAAGGGTTACAAGCAGGCAACATCCTCAAGAATCCAGCTCTGTTCCAAAGCAGGAAATAATGACTGGGCTTCAATAGAACTGCTGTGGAATTTGTGCTGGTTTGTTTAGACTGCACGTTGAGACATGTGAGCAGAGTGCCACTGCTATCGTTTGGTGAGGTTCAGAGATGAGAACATAGATTCTGATTTGGTGAGTTGACTTTGTATATATATATACGTTATCTTGTGCATTTCTGAAACTCAATACTGAAACTCCAAAAAAAGGAAAGATATCACTGAAAGAGTGTTTTTGCTGCTTGTTCTTGTTTCAAACCGCATTAATCTATATTCAGATAAACCAATAACCTACAATACACAACTAAGTTTACATGAAGATCATATGAGGCAAATATAGTGGAGTAGGATTAATTGTGTCACACTACAGAAGTTGCATGTCTGGCACTGTCACAACATCATTAAGCATTTGTGGGCAACTTGTGTTTGGTATCACTGGTTTGGCAGCTGTCAGCAAAAAAAAAAAAAAAAACAAACTCCACACCAGGTGTATTCTCAATTCATATTCAAGGCCAGTAATGAAACCATTTAAGCAGATTCACAGTGGCTTGAAAAACAGCAGGCCAGTTTATTTTGTTTGTCTTTCAGTTATGTTTTTCAGATTACAAATTCAGACCACTGATTAGCCATTTCCTCTCACACAGGGACAGAACGTACACACATGTCAGTGGTCAGCTGGCTGTCGGCAATAGCCTTTGTGTTGTATTCAAGTGCAACTTTTAACAGAAGACGTGAGGCGACGCACACTGTTTGATCAGTCTGCCTTTGTCGGTGCTAGTTCTTTGAGGTCGGCTTGGTGTGTCAGGGCCCTAATCTTCATACAGACATTCTGTGTTCTGTAACCACAGGGCCTAGGGCACACAGACCTATCCCGGAACAGTGATTAGCATATGTATGGGCCCTCTGCTCCTCAACTCCCACACAAAAGGCAGGCGGGCCGTGCAGCCACGAGGGCCAGGTGGTAAGCAGTGGGATTTCTCCTCGCCTCAGCCATAGCCAGGGGGACAGGTGCAAACAACTTCACCTCCATGCAGGGCTACATAACAGCTCAAAGGAGAGGCTGTCTTGAACTTGTGCAATGCACAACAAAAGAAGCCAGGGACCTTTTGTCTGCTGCTTTTTGCTGTTGTTGTCTTATAAAAAGAGCTGGGCCCAGGCATAGCTTGTTAACAGGAAATGGTCTCTGACTATCCTTGGGGGAGTTTGTGCATTTAATCGCTCAACGATTGTCAAGTGTGTCACACTCTCCCACATCATTACAACATAGCCAAATGTTTTCCATCTAAAATTTCCACAGCTCTGACAGACATAAATCTCTTTAGTGGATTTTCATTTCAGTCAGCCTTCAATCAGCTCTTCACAGATAAAGGCTGGGAAATATAGTCAAGGCCACGTCACCATACAGCAAAGGCAAATATCACAATATGCCAAAGAAACAGTGGGTAGGAATGCAAGATCACTGTGTACTTGTGCCCAGACCTGTGCATTAACATTTTTCAAGACATGATAATTATCAAATTGATTTTCCATACTTGTCCAGTCTTTCCAGAGCTGAACAGGAACCCTGTAATTAGAGGTGTTTACTCTGCATACAGCCACTTCAAGAAACCTTGCAAGGCCCTCTCACCACTTCCTCAGCCTACACAAAGAAATGAAGCCCATGTAAATGAGGCTTGGCGGTCCTCATTCAGACACATGAAAGGCTTCTGTTAGCAAAGACGGAGCAGCCCTCGTCATGATCATACATATTCAATATTCTTTCATAACACAAACCCAATCCAAACCTCCGCCCCCCCAAAAAAATTAAGCTCTTTGAGAAAAACTGCATTTAGCCATCAGTCACATGGCAAGATTAGTGGGTGATCATGTGTGGGGCTGCTGTCCAGGAATACTGTGGTCAGACTCAATGTGAAATGCATACATAGGCCTCATCAAGTGTTATAAATGTATTAAAATGTGGTGCTGTGAGGGAATTTCAGACTATTTACCCAAAAGGTCTATTAGGCCCTTATTGGCAGTAGACTCCACCACCATCCATCAGATTGCTATAACAAAATCTTTGGCCACAGATTGTAAATGTGTCTCCTTTACCAGCCACTATGACAGAAACCAGTAACTATTTCTAAGTCCTAACTACCATGATTTTCTGAGAGAGAAGTGAAAGTGAGTGGTGAATTTAGGGATTTACCAGACACTCTGACCTAAAGTTGGGCAATATTTCCACGTATTCTTTAGTCAAACTTTGAACTAGCCTCTACTCAATGCAGACCATATTGGGTAAAACGTGTCAAACTTGTGATTATTAAACAAACTTCAGCCAGGTGTTCTTTGTGCAGTGAGCTTACACATGAATATGACTGACTGAGCCATTTGACTCCACTTTTCCTAACTTTGCTTTGCTTTCTCCCCCGGTGTTGGAATGTGCTTTTCTGATTGGTTAACAGAAGACGAATGTATGACATGATGATCAGTCACTGCCACCTACTGAGCTGAATCAGACAGATCCTGACACACCTCATCTTGAGATTATTTCACCCTTCATGTGACAGTTGACAGTGTAGAAAGAAATAGGAAAAAAGGCAAGAGAGAGGGGTCATGTGGTATGCACCTTTGGCTATCAGAGCACCACATGTCTCTGAAGGTTAATCTTATCAAGCCACGTGTACACTTCCAAAGTTGTTTCATTTTTGGTACCAACTTCTTTCACTTTTAAGTATTTATATGTACATATACTGTAAATATGTTTATATGGCACAGTATTATTTGTTTATCATGACGTTTGCAAAGTGGAAGGAGCATTTTTTGGGTGCCTGTGGTTCCAGAAGTAAAAATCCCATTCATTTTTCCCTTAGACTGTTATGTGACTCACAGATGGAGCACTTCTACAGCTTGGATCAGCATGAAGCTCTTCTGGTTAAATCATCAGTGAAAAAAGATGGACAGCTGCATTAGAAAGCACCTGGCTCATTGATAAAAAGTCAAAGGTACAAGACTGTGTACATGAAAATGCTAGGGGAGAAGTTACTACAACTCCCATGGTGTATTTTGACAAGAAACATCTAGTCTCTGCGGTGGGCTAAAGATTAGTGTTGAGAAAACTGGAAACACAATCTGCAGCTCAAACAGATTTACTTTTAAATTCTGGATTCATGATGGATCAATTCAAACTTTTATGCACAAATTTAAGAATTGACAACTGCTCTGATTTGCACCTCTGACTGACTTCTTTTCCATGGCAAAGCCTCATGGGTATTGTAGTATTTACAACTGTCAACTGTGGAAAACTGATGCACAAAGCATGATTTCTCAGAAACGAAGTTGAAATAATTAAAAGTGATGGTCAATTGGATTGTTGCGTTATCTAGGAGAGTTAACATTGAAGATGTTAAAGAAAATTTTGAAATAGGAATACAGAATGAAGAAAAACACCTTCCGGAAACAGCAGCTCCTCCCACTCCAAAACTCTATTATCATGAAAAACATGATAGCCCACCCCTATTCAAGCCTATAGCCAAGATAGGATTCCCTGAATTGTATGTACCTGTGTGGCTTTGTCTTTCATACAGGAAGGGTAGGGTCCATGGGAATCCCGGGGCCACTGGCCGGTGAGGTATGGCCCTGTGATGGCATCCAGGGAAGATGTCCGCCGGATGGCACTGGAACTCCGAACCTGTAACTTGGACCTTTCTGCTGTGAATTGGGGAACATAAAGAAACAGGATGAGGCACGCACAGAAACACTCATAAAAGCATCAGTGCTTAGTGAGCAATATTCCTAGACACCCTGGGGAATCTTTGTAATTTGACGTGCCAACTTTCCCGACTGTGTCAATAAGAATAAGTTAAACATATACTACTAAAATGCCATTGTGTAATAAATCCCTAGGTGCAAATGTGTAGCCAAGGACTGGGAGCCATATTCTGAGTGGCACATCAACACTAATGGTTTAAATATCTGTAAAACAGCCTTTCACCTGAAATAAAGAGCAAATACATACTCAAAATCAGAGCAGGTTAGCTTCCTTGGACTGGTTTGTTAACTGTGTAGTAGCTGGAGCACAAAAGGCATTGTGGCTAGATCTTCACATTACAAGAATATATATATATATATATTTCAATCAATTACAGAATTGATTGGTACTCAGGTCCCTGGCACAAAAAAGGTTAAGACAATATCTCCTAAAACCATACATTATAATCATCACTTCACCCTCACATCTGTTACAGCACAGTTAACAGTGTTTTATGAAGATGAGAACCTGCCCTACAATCTCCTCTTGTTTTCAGAGTATGGACACATTTTCTAATCTCACAAGTATTAGTAAGAGTAGGCTTGAGAGCTGAGGCCTGAAGCAAATGTAAATGGCTGAGCAGGAGTATCTGATGTTATGAGAGCTGTCTGCTGTGAGCCAGAGCAGTTAAGCACACACCACCCACATAAGAACTCATAAACAACCACACCACAATGCACATCAATACTGCCTGCATCCACTCAACATTCCTGCAGTGACACGCAGAAAAAAAAAAAAAAAAAAAAGAGAAAAACAAAACACGCAAACACAAAGGCATTAGCATGAGAGCAGCATGAGGCTGCAGTAAGAACTGGATTAAATTTATTAGCCTCATTTGCACTATGTGTGATTACCGCAAGTCAGTGAAAGCTTCTTCATTTCTGTATCAAAGATAGACTAAAGGAATAGAATGATGAACAGGAAATATGCCCATTTGCTCTATTCCTTGTCTGAGTAGGCCAAGGCTGAGGCCTTTCCAACACGACCACACAAACTAACACACACAGACTAAACTATCTACATGAGGCACCCCTCTCCTAGCAGAACTACACAGCCATTCATTGTTGTTCTTTGTTCATAGAATACACAGGCCTACCCACCCAAAGGTATTGCCTAAGTAAGCTTACTGGGCTACAGTAAAATTCCCTGAAGCATTGTAGACAAAGGAAGCAGGCTAAATTTCCATCAATATTGATATAGGCCAAGCCAGTGCTCTCAGAACCGGGATTGTGGTTATTTTCCATCGTCTCCCCACTTGCCAGACTAGAATAATCTCCTGATGAGAAAAAAGAAACAGTGTGAAAGAAGCCAAGACATCAAAGCAGTCCATCTGCTGATTTCAGGGATAAGTGAGTGGTGTCTGTGATATTAAAGGAGTATTTTCAGGCTGAATTTTAATTAGAACTTTCCTTCACTGGCCACTCGACAAACTGAGAAAAAAAAATAAAAAATCGCCACATTTCCAGGGATAAATAGGTGGTTTATTAACTGTAGGGCAGAAGCAAATGTGAAAAAAAAACATGTGGTCCAAATCAGTAAACCATAACAGAATGGTTTCCTGTAGGTTTCCACAAGGCTGATGACACAGGAAAATCCTAAAAATTTAGCTTGATCTCGTGAGCACAGAACAAAATCACTGCACTTTTGGTATCTCTGAGCTGCTCACTTAAATGGCACTTGATGCTAAAGGCAACCTGGCAGGAGTTGTTTCACTTTAAAAGACATGCAGACAATCTTGGACATTTTTATTATAGTTCAGTTGAACTGAACTTTATTGTACTTGCTCTCATTACCTGCACAGTGAATTATGAAGCAGGGATTTTCCTACTGTCAAAACTTTCTAAGTTGGTTATTGTTAAACTGAAGTTTAAGGAGAAAATATAAACAACGGATACAGTATCTGGTTTTACTGACACTACCTGTTGATACTTTACTCGTATCATTCTTAACTAGTACTATGTATTACAGTTTACTTTTTTATTCATTTACTTGATCAGTAGCAAATCAATCGGTGTCCATGTTAAGACTCATTGAGAGCCATATGATTCTGATTTTCTGACATTTAATGGAAAAAATGATTAAAGCTGAAATAAATAATCAAGAGATTAACTGATAAAGAAAATAATTGTTTCAGCCACTCACTGTACTCACTGTATCATAAACTACTGATGCAGCTGGTGTAATTGTTTTTACAACTTATACTGTTAGTCAATATACTATATAATACCTAATAAACATCATCAAACATTTGATGATAGTTACAGTGGGATCTCTTCAAACACCTAGCCAGCCTGCAGTTCATAGTTCAACATTATTTTATATCAGTTGTTTAAGTTAAATGTGTGTTCATTGCAAGCAGAACATTGAGGAGGCACCGGCTTTCATAAAATATGAATGATATTAATCTTGGCCATGCAGTTTTAAAGTTATGAGTTTCAGCATCTGTCCCTCAGCTGGTCAGGAAATTGCTTGTTAGCATTATTAGCATCTCTAGATGAGTCCAGTGGATAACTCCCACAACAAACCAGCTTGGACTAGTTTGAATGTATCTAAATGAATGAGAAAGGTATGCTGACAGTGCTAACAATGCCATCTTTTGTAAGTGAACTGTGATAAATGAGCAATATTAACAACACATCAAAGTTACCCTTCAACTGCCAGATCCAACACAATGTTACGCTGTGACCAGCATGCTGATAAAACTACAGTAAACACAGTACAGTTCCACCAGAGTCAACTGATTTGGACAACGCGCTCATTTTCACATTTGGTCCTACTCTGCAGTTTGAATGGGTGACAATGAAGCAGGCCTGTTTCAGCACAGCTGGCACTTTGACAGAGAGCGGGACTTTCATTGTTGGGACAGTATGGTAAGAGAATGATGTCATGATGGCTGGTGAACCCAAAAAGTCATAATGCGGAATATAACACTCTTTACTCTGTCTTTGATAATCAGGCCAAGATCTGAACTATTTGAACACCAGTGCAGTCCATTACCACATGCACACTGGCTGGCACTAACACCCATGGTACTGTAGGGCATTTTGGATTGAATTTCCCACCAAATGGCAAGCATTATGTCTGTGAGTGGGTTCAAAGCACTACAGTGAATGATAAATTACAAAGTGCAAAGCCTACTGCATCAGTCACATCAAGATAGGATCCTGTGATGAAAGATGAAGATGACTAAATTATGCTCACATTGTAATACTTGTTTGCTTCCTGAGAGATGCAAGATAATTGGCATTTCTGACTGGTAGTAGCCACCAACCCCTCATTGATATGATCAGAATTGTCATCTGAGGCCTCTCATGCATGTTTGGACTGTGAGGTCACAGCCATGAAGGAGGGTCAAGTCTCCATCATCACCGCTGACATGGGACACTGGCCTGGGTTAGAGGTCGTCCCTTTCAGAGGACTGAGGTATGCATGGCATGCCACAGGGGTGGGAAATCAACACCGACTGTTAGCCAAACACGGGTATAATTCGTCATGCCTAGTAAGTCTGCCTACTCAGTTGTTGTAGAACAGACTTCGTTTCCTGCCTTGCATGGTACACTGGCCAAGGTTGGAGGTCATCTCATTCAAAAAAAAAAACGGAGGAATGTGAAGCACGTCACAACCAGAAAATTCCACACACAACTCCACAATAACCAACATGCTGCACTAAGACAAGAGCGCTGCCATTTTGGTTAAAGGTAAGAGGGATAAGCTATTAAAGGGGACTAATGGGGGCATGTGGTTGATGTGTAGCGTGTGGCAATTCGTGCCCTAATCTCGTTTAGCACAGAATACTGATGTAGTTAGAATACCTGGTGATTTTCATTGGAACTTATGTAAATTCAGAAACACCCACTGAGGTTGAACAGCACTAGAATGAGACTCTCTTTTTGTCTCCACATACTGGACAAGAAAGCTGGATTCACACACTTCCATATCCCAACGTGCTTAAAACACTCGCCAGATAGTGTGTGGTTATGTCTGCATGTTGTACAGAAAACACAGGGTTTAGAGAAAAAAAAAAGCAGCATTCTTCCAGCAAAAAATGCAGTTCTGACCTATGAAAGGATACGGCTACCAGTCTGAAAAATCTGCCACAGCGTCGATATTTGGCAGAAGAGGCTGTCACATAAATAAGATTTAGTGAAGCACTGGGAAATGCGGATTTAGGGCTGCCTGCACTCTCATGTCCTCCTTCAGTTTGTCTCAGTATCACTTCCAAGGAGCAGCTGTGCATGACATAAAACGACACATCACTTGCCTCCATGTGGAAGGCAACATGGTGAGTGTCAGCATATGGTCTGAATGTGCACAGTGCTCTGTGCTGTATGTATGGTGAGAGGTCAGACTAGGCAACACCTGACCATTCACTCAGCACTGCTTCTGCTGGGACCGACGTGGCCCCTTTTACAACTGAAAGCATGTCTTTCTGCCAATTCTCTCCTCCCCCTCTCTCCTGTCAAAAGTCCATAGGAAGTAAAAGAGCCAATAGTGCACTCTATTCTCTTTATGAGTGCCCAATAGTGTAAGTGGATGATAGGCTAAATAGTTAATGCATCAACCTACTTTAAATCAAGTGCCAACCTTGTTCCAGACATACAGGCTACTCCCTTACATATAATATTTGACGCAGTTTTGCACAATTACAATATTAAAATGTAATTGTATAACTGCATACAAGTCCGTGTAATAAAAAAGTTACCATGACAAGTTATCAGTGGACAATAGCACGTGGTGACATGGCATTTCTTGGCCTACGTAAGGCAAAACAGTTGAGTGAAATAAGTGTTTTTACCTCTGGAAACTGGAGAGTCTGGGGGACAGGAGGAGTCCCTATTTTCGGGGGACAGTCTTTGCTTTGCATTTGCACTTCCTGAACTGAGTGTCGGGCTGGAGGGGGGGCTTGAGCCTCGGCTGTTCGTGGCTCCTCCGTAGAGGGTCTGCGCCCGCGTCGGGCTGCTCTGACCCGCACGCAGGAGCTGGTAGGGCACGGTGGCACGGATGGGGTACAAACGGCAGCTGCTGTTGTTGAACGAGCCGGGGGAGCCCGCATTGCTGCGTCTCACCCTCGGCTGCTGAAGCGAGTTGCTGGGGGCTGACATCTTCCGAAAGTGAATGTAATTCCTATAGCAGTAAGAGAGACGTACTGCCAAAGTTGCTGCTTCTCTAGAGGAGGAGGTGGTGGGGGAACGGTAAAATAAACATTAGCTTGTTAGCAAAAAAAAAAAACGTTAGCTTCCTTTTTAAAAAATTTCAACTCATGCGCTCGAGGAAAAAAAGCCCCAACATATATTATTTTGAGATAAACTTACCTTTAAGATACTAACACATGCCGACGTAAGCTGTAACCCTTACATATGTAACTTTAAAAGTTGTTTTCGACACTTCTTGAAACGTTTAATTCCTGTCTTCCAGCACTAGCACCGTCTTCCCCATCACGTCTACTCACTCTAAATGACAGTTGTTTCAGCCAGACTACTGGCTGATGCCTGTGGGCGGGCCACGGTGCTCACTTCTGAGCTTGTGATTGGACGGTGGCGTTGTACAGTAACGTTGCTGATTCGTCCAAGTTTCTCTATGGACCGTACTTTAAACCAATCACGTCTGCAATGTGTTATCAGTATGGGTAAAGTTTTTAATGAAAATTCAATGTATTGCTCATGAATTTCACCTGTATACTGTATGTAATAGATACTACAGTACAGTATTGAATAAATAGATTTTAAATTATACTATCGTTCTTATAAGGATATGACTCAATCTTGTCACAAGGTCCATTAGAAGCTCTAGAGGTTTCTTTCTCAGCTGCAAGGCCAGATCACCTACCAGGGCCATTAAAAGGCCCTGTTTTACTCCATAGCATTTGGTTCTACATAATCTGATTAATCACAAATTTGTCAGAAATTTGCACCACTGAAGTACACCATTAATTATGCCAGATTGTCCATCCTCCCCTCCGGTCTTGTACGGGTACCATGTGTCAAAATCTAGAGTTAAGACCTTCACTGTTTTAGTTTATATCAAGCTGTAACTTTGTTGTTATTCACAACACAGCACATGTGGTGAAGGGTCGTATTATTCCATCATAGGAGAACTGGAAGGCTGCAACCATCAGTGAAAACTGCCTCGGACAGTGAGGGTCAATAAGAGCCTCTTAGAAAGTTAGTCTGGCTATTTTTCCAGTTGTAATAGAAATGTAGATGTTCACTTTCCTTAGTTTTCGTTGACCACTGCTAATGGACCATGTAAAGTGAGTTAATACATTATCCATACAATATTTCAAGCGCTTAATACTGTTTACCATAACATTTTAACTTATAAATAGGCGATATACTAAATGTTGTCATCTATTTATTGTTTTCATTAGAGCTGAAATAATAAGTTGATTAATCATCAGGGTCAAAAGAAAAATAATTTGCAGCTGTTTTGACAACAGAATAATCATTTCAGTCATTTTTCATGCAAAAATTAAGGGAAAAAAAGTTAAATACTCTCTGGTTTCAGCCTCTAAAGTATCTGCTTTGTTCTGTTTTACATCAGTGTAAATTGCATATTTTTGGGTTTTGAAGGCCTTAGCTGATATATATATATATATATATATATATATATAGAAATGTATACATCCCTACTGACTTAGCTGTACAAAATAGTTATATGTTTATACTCGCTTCTCTTTTTGTCTCTCTTTGTTAACCTTGTTTCACCTGTATATTTATGTGTATTTTCCTGCACATTTGTTACTGATACTGTGCATTAATAAACTGAGAGCTGCTGGACATCTGAGTCAAATTCCTTGTATGATGAAACATACCAGGCCAATAAAGGTGATTCTGATTCAGACTGTTAAGAGTGCATTTCATTCTGAAGTTTTCTAGTCAACATGGACCAGAAAGATATAGAAATCTGAACATCTACAGTTACATGACAACTGGGTAAACTACATGTGTGGAGGAGGATCATGTGATGACTGAAAGCTCTACAACAGCTAATGGACCTTGTATTGAGACTGATGTGTCACTTGCTGTTTCCAAGATCGAGAGCTAGTTAATATGAAGTTTCATTGCTCGTCTAGATCTGAGGCCCAAATTTCATTGTTTTTGCTCATGTCCATTTTCCAGCCTGCGATGACGGTCTATGATTCTGTGGGAGTTTCCATGGGAGAAAAATGGTGTGACTCAATGCGTTTATGCAAAGAGCGAGCACGCACATGACAGACAACCCACGCCATCTGTGTCTATGATAATGTAAAAACAAACCATGTAAACGTATGGAAAAAACCCCCCATTCAGCAGTGCTCCAATTTGTCAGTCGGAATTTATTTAAAAGGCAAACACAAGAAACACTGAAAGGATGAAATTCCAGCCACTCTGTTTTTTGGGACGCTACACGGCTCGCCAATTTGTCAGCTCCACTCCAAAATAGTTCACAAAAGGGCATGCAGGCCTATAAAACCTCCCACACCGGGAAGAGATCCTGGTGAAAGCAGCATACAGTAGCTCCTGTGCCCCCGCCCCCCACCACCACCACCACCACCACCACCACCACCCGACTCCTCCTCCTCCCTACTCCATGACTAAGTGATTTAGCCAGCTCTGGTGCAGGCTGCCTCTCACTTACAATGCCTCCCTGGGTTAGTGACAGAGCGGGGAGGGTGGCAGAGAAAGAGAGAAAACCCATTTACAATGCGGCTTACACACGGCAGTCCCCCCACAGACGGCGCCCATCCTTGGATTGATGTGTGGTATGCATAGTTTTTGGATGCAATTTGGGCACCAGAGAGAGAGAGAGAGAGAGAGAGAGAGAGAGACAGAGAGAGAGAGAGAGAGAGAGAGAGAAAGAAAGAGAGGGTAAGTCTGTGTATGTCGGAGGGTGTAGAAGGGGGTGGTAGGGGGGTACAGGGCTCAGGCTGTCTGTTCTCTCGCCCTCTCTTTGAGTCAATAGTGTTCCGGCAGCTGAGGTTCTTTATGAGGGGAACAATCTGGAGGGTCTTGTCAGAGTGCCGAGCAGCTGCTGTTTTCTGGGGAGCTTCTTTCATGGGCCACAGGCCTGGAGTGGGCTGGTGAATACAGATGCACCCTCCCACCCTCCCACCTTCCTCCTCCTCCTCCTCACCCACCACCCCCGACCTCTCCCAATTCCTCACCCCCCCCCCCCCCCCCCCCCCCCCCCCCCACCCCCCCCCCCCCCCCCCCCCCCAACAAAACTACCCCTCACACTGGTAGCCCTCCCCGCACAATGCCAGATGAACAGTGGCACAGAGGAAAATGAAGAGAGCAAGAGAGTTTTGTTATTGTGCGCTAGACTCCGCTTCGTCACCCGGGGTACCATCCTTCACCCCGAACAATGCTTTCATGAGGTATGTGAAAATCCTTTCATAAGACAAACACAGACGTTAAATAGCGTATTAAAACACAAGCCACAAAATATAGCTCAGAAATATTGGCACCTGTGTTCACATCTTTACAACCTGATGTGTGAGTGGACATTTGACTTTTTTTTTTTTGTTTTTTTTAATAGATCACAACAAAACCATAAGCCTGATTCAGGTTAGATTGGAAGAGGCTTGATTACAGCAGAACCTCTTGTATTTCTCCTGAGTGGGATTTTCATTAGCAGAGCATGTGAGTTTGCATTCACTCCCTTTCTGTCATTGCTTCAGTTAGTCAGATCAGTAACACACACTGCCTCCCTTCTTCATATAGGGCTCTGTTACAAGGTTACATTCACTAGACTATGACTTAACAGTATTTCATTCTTTTCAAGCAGCCACTTCAGAGGAGGACACTGCTGTCACCCTTTGTCCCTTGCCCAGTGGTCGGTGCGGCGGGTGCAGCAGTGAACCTGCGCTGGTTGGCTCTGGGCTGGTGTTTGGCTTCAGAGTCCGACAGGTTCCTCCTGTTTAGCTGCTGTCTGAAGGCACCAGGTTCCCTGTGGTGTCCAGCTGCATGCATTTACATGTACAAGCTGACACCGGGCACTCTGTGTGGTCTCTGTAACAGACACATGGAGGTCAGTTTAGAAAGAAGCTACATGAAGACGAGACACAATGTGTTAACCACAGGTAATACAGAGGTTTGTAGATTTTCCACAAGAATATAGAAGGGCCCAGCAGGTCAGTGTACCTTCTGTTCATTAGACTGTCAATTCTGTAAATAAAAAAAAACTAATTTTGGAAGCTGTTTTTGAAAAGAATGAGTATTGAAGCATTTTATGATGCACAAGGAATATGGCTCCAAGTTCTGTATTTTATTTACTAACCCAGTAATAAAGCACAGAACAAAAGTCAAGCAAAGAGGGTTTTGCCACAGGCGTGTTATTTCCACCCGAAACTGTCTTTAGGGTTTAGTTTAAAGAAAGCAAGAGGCTTATCTCTACCAACCAGTTTATACTGGAAAATGGAGTCCTCCTTCTTTAGCAGGATCCCAACATGGACATAACTTAACAACATTAACCTTTATATTGAAGTGAGAGGTAATAAAGAGCAGTAGAATTACTTTTCCTTTCATGATTATGTCAGAGAGAGAAGAAATGTTTTCAAGCATGTGTCCAATTTGGATTTGAAGCAGGATCTCTGATGAACACAGGAATTACTGTTGACCACATGATAGTCTGCAGACATCCATTGTTATCATTGAAAATAGTCCCATTTTCTACTAATAGATTTTTGCATCTGACTGGTTATGTAATAATACTTAATTTGAAAAACAGAAAAAATATTCTATTTTGCTGCCTAAATTCAATGACTCAGCCTCGTTTCACCATTGGAAATCAAACAAACAGAAGGAACACGGATCACAGGCGTAACCATGTTCACATGTGTCTAAACATTATCTACGCATGTGTAGCATCCAGTGAGAGCCCCACCTGAACCAGCTGAGCATATGGCCAGCGTGGCCGCCGTGTCGACAGTTGTGACACCAGGTGAACCAGTTGTTGAACTGAGCGAGTTTGTTCTCCCTTGTCAAGTCCACCTTCTCATCTGACTTCCCTGTTCCTGCCAAAAAAAACATATTTATCCATAAATCAATATTAGCAATCACTAAAATCTGTCTACGTTGGAATGAGTGACATCACGGCGTTGAGGAAACTGGATTGGCCGCCGCACTCGCAAATGCAAATGTCCCTAGATGCTGATCAAAGTCCACATATTCTCGCCTGCAAATGCTCAGTTAAGTATTATAGCCACTTAAGCTGCTCCAAGACATGTTCCTGTTACTGGAAATATCAGCTGACCATCTGTTGACACACACTCCACACAGGGCAGCTTTACCTGGGCAATTGGAAACAGGTGTGCCCATGTTCATGAGGCAGAGGGCACAGCGTGGCAGCGGTTTCCTGCAGCCAGGGCAACTGGTGACTTTAGACTTGGTGGGTGAGCCGCTGACACCGTACTGGCTGAAGCCGCGGCCCTGGTGCGGCATCGCCGAGC